GCATGTTTCCAAATAAAATTTTGGAATTTAGCAGAGATAGCAGTAAACATACAGGCATCTAGAGAGCTCTTCCTTGAAGAAATATGAACACACAGGGGTATGTTGTAAATGGATGCCCAGCTGATCAGGAAATGTGGGAGTCTATTTGTGGAAGAGGGCATACTCTTTTCTTGTTCTGAGTTATCCCGCAAGATTTTCAGTGGTATAATTGGATGTAACAAGCACAGTGTTGTCATGGTTGATGTTTCCAAAAAAAGGAAGATGAAGGCCTGTTCAGGTTTGTTTTTGTATGTTTTTAAATACAATTATTTACCCACAATGATTATTCTAATGAAATACTTTGCTCTTTCCCTCTATGGATGGCTGACATTTGAACCAGGCCTTTTAGTGAAAGTTTGATCCGTTGCAATTAGCAAAGATCATGTTTATCTCCATGCTGTGAAAAAATTCCACTGATGATTTCTGCACATCAACCCTCTTCAAAGTCACAGGAGGGGCCTGGCTGTGGATGGCTGTATGTTTTCCAGTAATGTCATAAACCATTCTTCTGTTGTAAGTCACCCCAAGATGTCAGTGGTGGATAGGTTAGACAAGCTTTAAATAAATACATTAAAAAAATAAAAATAAATACTGTTTGGATTCTGTTGTTGATTTGAGATGCAAGATGGGTCATATGATATTTGGAACCTCATGGTGACCTGCAAACATTTTGCATCTCATAGTCTGGCTGACAAAGAACTCTGTGTAAGTCATATAGACACTTCTGTATTGATAGATATCGTCTGGGTCTGACTGAGATTTAGCTATTGTGTATTGCATTCAACAGCATGAAAATGTCTATGAACTTTGCTAGACAAGAAATTTTTTGTGCACTCATCATTCCTTAGGCTCAATTGTTTCACAATTCTTTAGATGATGTAGTGAACTTCCAGATTTTCACTCTTGAGTGGTTGTTTAGTGAGGGGCAAGTATTGTTAATGAAAAAGAAAGAACATATTTCCCTACTTGTGTCACTGTGCTATTACCGTAGATCACAGAGCCCCACTTAGAGCATATTGCCATGAGGCGTTGTGCTTAACATAAATAATGAAATTACAAGAAAACATTTTTCCTACAATAATTAGTGAATGTGCACAGAAATATGCTAGAAAAGGAACATTTATTACAGTTGTTGCATGGCTTCTTTGAGGCTAAAAGGGCTTCTTTGAGGCTAAACATGCACATTTACAACAGAACCAGTTTTGTAACTCTGTTTTGGCTTTTCTTCATTTTTTAATATACCAAGAGCATCTCAAAAAATAGATGCCTCAGTCAATCTCTGAGAAGCCTTCCTTAGGACCATGGGAGCCATCAACATGAAATAGAAGGGTCTCGCATCTGGTATGCAGGCACTGATCTGTATAATTCATAAGTCTTCCGCAGTGTTAAAAATTACAGCATATTACAGGGGTACTCATACCCTCTAATCGTACAGCATATTTTCGTAATGGTTTCAGCATCAGGCCCTGCCGCAATGTATTCTTAGAGCTTCCAGTGTACATATTCTGAAGCTTCTGAATACACAGGAAACTATATATAGGGGTATGAGGGAAGGTACGCCCATTCCATTCTCCTTTGGGGAGCTTACCCACAGCAAGGTGGAGAAACAGTCATCTCAAATCATACCCCTCTCCCCAACTTCAATTTGTATAACCTGCAAATCTATGCGCGGGTCAGGGAAGGCTGCCATCTAGTGACTGAAGATAGTACTGCAGGCTTCCAATAAGAGACATATTTCACTTTTTATTAATTAGAATGAAGAAATGGGTTTTGAAACCTAAATTACACCAAGGAGCATACCCCTAGCATATCCTCCGTATGTACACTATGTTTTGGCCGTCTAGGTTTCAGAGTCTTGGAATTTTAGCATTTACAGACACCCACTCTTTTCGTCATTGAGGAAGTGGAAGAACAAGAGCAGTTGGCCATGTGTGCCTCCATCTGCGGACTGGGCTGGTGTAACTCAGGCACAGGTTTAACCCCTCATAGTACACTAGCTCTAAGAAGGCATTGTGTTTTGCATTGAAATGAAGAAGATTGCTTCCCCCATACAAGGAATGCTGAGATGATCACTCTCATCTGACCTACTTTCCTGGCTTTCTGGCTATTGCATCTGTTCCTCCCACCTACTGCTTCCCCATCTGTTCGGCACGTTTAGATCAGAGGAGCTTCCCTGAATACTGCTAAATGTCAGGTAAACTTCACAAAGGCCTGTGCCCACTTTTAAGCTCATGACAGGGTGCGGTTGAAAAAGGACTCTGTTGTTCCTTGTGCAGAAGTGCCAGGACTCAAAGAAAAAGCAAAAGGTGCCCTGAACTTTGTAATCATGTGCAGCCTAGATAGGGTCATGGCTTGTTGAAAACCATCGTCATTGCCATCCTTTCTGCCTCTTGAAAGGAACTCAAGGTAGCTTACAAATGTCTCCTTTTCTCCATGTTATCCTCACAACAACACCACTGTGAGGAAGGCTAAACTGAGTCAGCAGCTGGTGCAAAGTCAGCCAGTGAACTTGAGGGCCAAGTGGGGAACAGCATCCAGATCTCCTGAGTCTCAGTCCCGCATTCTTCATCACTACACCCGAATGTGGCATCCAAGATGGAACTTGGCACTCTTACTGGAAAGATAAGATCTTACCTTTTGTTGAGAAGAGCTCAGTAACTTGATGGATGCACCATTGTTGTATGATGGGCACCAGAAAAATGTTCAGCTTGTACTGAAAATCTTCTGATGGTGAAAGCTGCTTGACAATGTAACGGATTACCTCCGTAGGTGGTGGGCTTTTATTACCAACAAGTGGAGGTTGGATGGCCATATGGTAGGGATATGGCAGTTGCAAGATGCTTGCACTGAAGGGGAGGTTGGATCAGATGGCTTCCAAGTGCTCTTCCTACTTTAAAATTGAATGGTCCTATGACCTGTTGGCCTGTGACAGCATTTGCTCTGGATTTCCTTCCCCAGCTCATACTGTACTATGTGTGGATTGATTGTAGCTTGTGCCACAACTTGGGCATTTGCAAGAGCTTGTGTGAAGCCAATATGTGCAAAGCACTCTGTATCTCTGGGGGTGAAGCATTTGGGAATCTCTGGAGACATGCATGTACTCTCAGGAAAAGGAAGGGGGAACCCTCCTAAGGACTGCAGCAAACCAATCAGGAAGAGGCTGTTGCATTCCATAGGTAAGAATAGGGAGGGAACCGGGATTTTGCTCTCAGGGCCTGCCAGGAAGTGAGGCAAGGGCTGGCGGATGGCGAGGGGAGCATGGAAACCATGCTGCCTGGGTAACCATACAATCATCTAACTGGCAGGTTTAGACAAAATCCATGTGCTGTGTAAACAGCAGAGGGTTGTTTGCTGTGTTGTGTGAACCCACCCAATGTCTGGGTGTGAGTTAGCATGCTGTTATACCCACTGAGGGCAGAAGAAGAGAAACATTACTTCTGCTTCATCTCCTAGCCCAAGCTTATATTATACTCTAGGGAGCTTTGCTTAACACACAGAATGTATTATTTTCAAAAAAACAACCATGGCAGCTTGAAGACTGTGCAGCTCTTTGGATCTTACTCATCTGAGCTTTGCTTGGGGACATTTTTTGCTGGGTCCAAGTTCCACTTTGATATCTGCAGCCTGTTGTTTTCTCTTCCATGGTTCTTCAGGTAACAAAGAAAAATTTGGCTTTTCATTTATGTGGCAAAAAGCCTTCACCACCCCTACAGGAATTTCATTAAAATGCAGCATATTACTCATGCACTGCATTGCATCACATGCACGCACGTGCGTGCACGTATGCGTGTGCACACACACAGGGTTGCCATGGAAACCCTGGGAGCCTATGGGCAGCAGGCCTTTGGGCCATCTGCAGAAAGATTTTTCAGAAAGGTACGTGAACCAGATTCACGATGTGCTTGCAAATGGCCTTGAGCATTAAATGATTTGGCTGATCTTTACCTAGCAAGAAAGAAAAAGATTAACCTAAAGAAATCAACACACTTGATTCATATGTTTCTGGTAAACGTATACACTTCATATTTTCCAAGGACACTGGCTTATAGCAATGCAGTATGTTGGCAACCCAGCACTGTACTTTAAATAATTAATACCAAATTCTTCATAGATACCTATGAAAAATACACTCATTTTTCTGCATATGTTCTGCCTAGGGAAAGCTATGCTATTAGCAAGCTTGGAAACCTAATATCATGAAGATTTCTTGCAGAAGTAGAATGTAGCCCAAGCTAAATATATACCCTGCATCATATTTTGTTTCCCTGCGTTTATTGGGAAAGACTGGTAGGAAGGCTGGTCATCTCATTCTCCCACCCAGAGTTTTTTTCCCAAGGTATGGATAGACACATCTCTCAGGTTTACTTCCTCCCACATTTGATTTATTTAAATCTTAAGTACCATGTGTCCCAACATGAAAAAAAAAAAATGTTCGAAGGCTGGTAAATTCTTATCAGAACAGAACTGAAACAAAATTCTCACCCATCTGCACTGACCAAACTGAATGCAGCTAGTTCCAATATGAAGAGGACCACAGGTACTTGCCTACCATATAAGACTGAAAGCCTTGCAGGAAAAAATTGGTGACCCTCTTTCAGCCCTAATGTGGATTAATACACAGGGATACATTTTGAAGAACTAAGCATTCAAAGCCCCAGGGCCTGGGTGGATGAGTTTGTCAGCTTCAGTTTCCGCTACAATTGATTTTGGAAGACACTCCTGCATTTTGTAAATGTTTCATGCAAAACACAGGGAAACAATTCTCAGCCAAGCATATTCCAAAGCAAGGTGAACATTCTCCCTCTCTAGCTCCATTTGCTGAACCGACTGCAGTACCGACTGCAGTTCCTGCGGGTACAAACGTGAGGTTGCTCTCATGTCGTGTGTGGAGCAACCACAATCCTGATCCTTGATAGGAGCAAAAAGGGGACGATTTCTTTCTACAAAAATGTAGAAACTCCTTTTTGAACAGGTAACATTGTATTTATTCCAGTTGGACACCGTTATTTACAGATACAAGGTAGTAAAACGTGTCACAAAACAAAATTCCACAGTTAATATTTATAGGTGCATAGTTCATGCTTAATCACTTTATGTATAAGTATATATGTATATATAGAAATATATTAACAACTTTCACAATAATTTCATCATTGGACAGGAAAGGAATAATAGGAAACATTAAAAAATTTTCTTATCCTTAAACAATACCAAAGTACCGACAATCTATGAACAAAACATAAAAAGCTTTAGAAATAAAGAACAGACACTTAGGTGTTTTTTAAAATTGTTTTCAAACTTTTTAGAACCCCAAGTCACAATATCTACACAACAACAATGGCTCTGAGACCCAGGCTTCCATTTTGGAGGGAGGAGGCAGGTCACCGAAACGAGAACTGGACACGGTTAGAGATGCTCCAATCACTGCGGATGGAAGACTTCAAAACTATAAAAATAGTTTACGACTGGGCACATTGGAACTCAGCACTTGTACAGGACAGGATGTCTGTGTTAACAGGAAGGAGGAGATGGAGTTGGGCAGGATTCACGCCTCAGGCTCATAATCCTGGTACTCTTCCTGTTGAGAACAACAATAATCAATATTTGTGAGGAAAAGGAAGAAGATACGGAGGAGGATGAAGCAGAGGATGGCAGTATAGAGGAAGAGGAAGGGAGGAGGGAGAAGAGAAAGTGGAGGAGGCAGAAGGAGAAATCAGAATTTGGATCAAATATATGAACCATTCCAGGGATAAGTCTCACTGGAGTGGTAAACCTGCGTCCAACTTCTATTGCTTCAGATTTCAGTTGGAGGTTGAGAAGCCAGAATGCGCTCCCAAAGGGGTAAGGGGAGATTTGTACACATAGTCAATTAGCAAACTGGGGTGAAGACTGATTTGCTAACACCTAGAGAACACTCAGTTCCCAAAAACCTAGTTTTCAGGTCTGTGGAAGAAAGTCTGCAATGGGAAGGTTTCTAACCAGATCTTGTATTGTGAGACATTTCTGTTTTTCTTGGATCCTACAGAATGTTCTGCTTTAACAATGGAAGAGGGCTTGGACCTCTCTCAGCTGCAAGAGAAGCCCCTGCTAATCGGGGTTGCAACAGAATAACGCTTGCACTTCTTCCTTCCTATATGAAATACAGCAACTCGGACCACAGGTTGTGTTTGGGTCCATGTTTGATATAAGAATCAGACACTGCATAAATTCTGGTTAGGAATGAAATGGAATCCTCATACATCCCAGGTTGCAAGTCTGATGGATTTGTTGATTTTTGTGAGTTAGTCCAGTCCTGCTTTGCCTTGCAGTGCTTTGGGTTCTTCATTTCCTTTTGGATATAGATTGGAAAGGAGAGACTGTTGGATTTGGCCAGGCCTGCAACCCTCGACTGTCTTATCCATTTCACAATGGCTGGATGGATGCTTATATTCTATACCACAGCAATGGTGAAAACTTACTGGAACCCTTTCATCAGGACCTTGGTGAGGTGATGGTGGCCTTCTGAGGAATCAGTGCCTCTTCCCTAGCAACATGGGCTTTGGTTCTGAAGGTGTTTGAAGCAACAATCTGGGTTTCCCACAGCTTTTCTTACACTGAATTCTCACCCATGTATAGTTTTGGTGGGCATGAACCAGATTGCTTCCTCCCAAACCTCCTCCAACCCTGGCCAGGTCAACAGCAGGATAGCTCAGTGGGGCAACAGTGATCATGGCTGGGCAGCTATGTACTTCTCTCTGGTCTTCCACTAGCCAAGACCAGATTGGGCCAAGCCAAGGGTCTTGTCTCATCCCTGGCACTAGCTTCTGGTTTTGTACTGAGTTGGTTCTTCTGATATCTTTTGTTTTTGGTAGGATCATAAGAATATAGGTCAGATGGAGCTGGCATACTCCACTTAAAGCAGGAGGCTGAACTGAAGGCAGGAAGCTGGAGCAGAGCGAAGAGGGCGCTGCTTTTATGGATCACACTGGAGAAATGTAATATATCGTATTCTTTTGCTTCACACTAATGTTTACAGAGGAAAAATGTAGGCTAACTGCTTTTAAATTTGGTAAATGTGCAGTTTTAATGGTGCTCATTCTTTAGAGAACATTGCAATGCACTGACATTCACAGTGCATTAAAATCTGTAATTCTGTATTTTAAAAATTGAGCAGGGAGATCTTTGTAGGATCTTGCTGAAGATGGATGGTGGGTGAGCCTTTGCAGAAAGGAAAAGTGTTCACAGGAAATAAAAAAATCTACATACTAAACAGTTTTTCTGAAATGGAATTCTTGGAAAAAGCAGGCTATATGTGCATTTTCTTTGATAATGATCTAGGATCTGGTCAAAGTTGAAGTCCTTACATTGAGTTCACTGGCACTGTAGTATAAAATGGAGAGGTGGAGCTCAAACTTGGACTCAGCTTCAGGCAGCATGGAGAATGGCTAAAAATGGGAACTAAACTTTAACGGATTCTTACAAAATCTCTTTTCCTAGAAATCTTGAAGTACATCTTCTTGGGACCTCTAGTGCAAACACCTTACAGTAGTCTCTACTCCATTCCAGCAATGGGTGTGTGGGTTAGAAATGGGTTGACTCATGAACCTGTATATAGGCACAATCCCCAGTAAATTCTATTGGTCTTTTCAAAACTCTTTCCCCTTTCCTCCAAGTTTCTCCCTTTCCTCAAGATTCTCCTGAATGTGAAATTTGTCTCAGGTCTTCTCAGCTTCAGCACTATACAGAATTCTTTCAGTGAGTGCAAGCCAAGCTTAATGACAAGACAGTTCTTAAATTTCCCATTTCCATCATACCCATTACTGATGTAACCTGTGAGAAGCCATCAAAGAAAGATTTACCTCAGGAGGCATTTCGTAGGCTTCATTGTCAGGGTCTGCCTGCATGTTTGTGTTATCCATAACTCCTTCCTGTGTGAAACCTTCTTCATTCTGAGGTTTAAATGAGAGAATGAAACAATAGAATGACACGGACTTGTTGCAGTTTAATCTGAAATAGAACTCTTCAGTCTCCATTCCAATAAAGTATTGTGTGGCTCATTTTGGTTAATGAAGTACTGAGCATGAAATGTTACATCAAGAGCAAAAAATGAAAGAATTCTCCCAGCTACAGGGAACTGATTGAGAGAACAACAGCCTTAGTATGCTAGTTTTTGAAAGACACTTCAGAAATATCTGTTGAAATCTTGTGGGTGAAAGCTGATCTGCCTGAAGCTGTTCTCATCTGCTCACAGGCTTCCATATTGTGAAAATTTACCCAGCTGCCCTTCATGCTTGAAATGTGGATTCGGGCCATTTCCATTCCTCAGCAAGAGTGTATCTGAGAATAGCTCTCCTCACCCTCAGCACCCACTCTGGGTCTAATGCTACATGCTAATAATTATAGCAGAATTCTAATGCCTTAGCAAAGCAAAGCAAAAGGCAGATCTTCAGGTAGAAGCAAAGGGAGAGAGAAATGGTGCTTAGCCTGTCCTCCACCCTTCCTCTGAGTCAAACTGCCCATCCTTAGTGGCTTTCTCTCCTGTGTGGCTCAAAACAGGCCTCTGCGACTAGGGCATCGTTATATGTGCTACAATGGCAAGGAACACTTCAGGCTTTGCATTAAGAACTGCTTCAATTTTCCCTATATAGGTTTGTCAGCAATTTCTCTGGGATAAGGTTGTCCATGGCTAATACTGGTGATGGCAATATGCTACCTCTAGTATCAGAGGCGGTATACCTCTGCACGCCAGTTGCTGGGGAACATAGGCTGGAGGATGCTGCTGCACTCAGGTCAAGCTTGTGGATTTTCTGTGAGCAGATGGTAGGCCATCATCCAAATAGAAAGCTGCTAAGATGACCCTTGGCCTGGTCCAAACACTGATCAGGCCTTGCCATCTCCTATCACTGATTGGCTGTTTCTAGGGAATTTTTTTTGTTGATTTCAAACTAGGTTTATTTTGCAGTAGGAATAAGTATCCTTCTGGCCTATTCCTCAGGTGTAAAAGCCAGAAGGGGCTGGAAGGTTCTCTTTATTTAAAGAAATGCCCCATGTGTTAGAGATACCCCAGAACAATGCTTTCATGCTTGCAATAGCAAATTATTATTAACCCATAAAACCCTGGACCCATATGGAGCAGATTAGAATGGCCCAGAACTCCAGCTTCTTCATGAGCCGAAGCCACCAGATTCATCAGAGTGATGATGGACCAAACTTCACAGATGCCATTCTGGACAATAGTCTGTATTCAAAAAAATAGCTCAGAAGTTCAACTTCCAAATGAGCTGCATCAACAAAATACACAACTGTATGGCAGGTGAGGAGGTTTAGTCAGTCATAAAAGGTCCACAAAAATCACATGCCAGTTCTTCTAAACAATGGTCCATATTCTGGGAAATAGGCTGGAAAGGCAGCATCCCAGTGAGCCAAACCAACCGAATTCAGCAATCAACCATGCCTAGATGAGAGGGATGCAATAAGATAAACAAATGCAACCACCCATTGTTAGAATGAAAAGCCATCTTCACTGTAGTACAGAAATACCATCCAATCAAAACAAGTTTAAAAAGAATTACGTTTCCTCTTGTGCCATGGAGGTTCACCTGCCTAGGTAGGCACACAGGCCATTTGGAGCTGAGGTTCCTCCTTCAACCATTCAAAAGCCACAGACTGTTTCCTTGCAAAGTGTTCTTTACTGACCCAAAAGCACAAATCACCCAGAAAGAACTCTGAGCACACACAGAACAGTTTGTTGAGCCCACTGTAGGTTTCGCCTCCAGGAACTCTCCTTATGAGCCTGCCTGGGCCCTATTCCTTTGGGATGAGCCTTCTGAAATGCCTCCTCACTGCACGTCTGTCCTCTAATTGGGGTGTCCTCCTCTGCTCATGGGGTAAAGAACCAGGACTGCCTGGTCTGTGTCTGAGAAACTTCCCTGTTCTGAGTATACTCCCACCAGCTATATACCTTGGTTATTCCCAGAGACTGCCTGCCCACCTGGGGAGTCTGGCCTTGACATAGGTGCCTTCCCTCCTCCCATCCCCGTGTCCTGGCATGGCCCACATTCCCAGGCTCCCCCCAGTTTTGCCTCACATTCTGATTCTGATTCGGATGAATCCCAGTCAGAAGTCCTTGAGAACAAGCACTCAAATAGCCATCTTTCTCACTCCCAACACAGACCGATACATGTCAAGGCCAGAATGCACATTTGGAATCCTACTGAGGGGGAAAACCATTAGAGAGTGATTTGGAATAGGAAGCAGGCAGGAAAGACAAGGCTCAACTGCCCTTTCTCTCCATTGTTCCCAATTACTCCTTCTTGAAGCAGCGTTGCTTTTTGAAAGCAAAGGTCAGTGAGAAGTGAAAATTCTTCATTTTGACACAGGTTCCAGTCATTCTAATGGTCCCCAGGCTACTTTTCTACTTTTCATTGAAATGAAAGGCATACATATAATCATATGAATAATATGATTAACAGCATGAATTCATATCTTCTATAGTGCTGTCTCTATATTTCACATAATAATAGAATTTTATTAACATATAATATAAATTAATATATATGAATGAATTAATAATGCAATCTTTCAGTTGCAGAAATTACATTTTTAGTATCAGTATGAGAACTTATTTTCTCCCAGTTCAGAATTTTAGATCTTTCAGTCATGCATATTACCATTTTTTTGTTCATGCTCAGACTTTACCTGATCACCTGTTCTACAAATGGGAGGCATTCTGCCCCACCCTACCCTCCTGACTGCATTTGCTAAATGCCTTCCCTGGTCCAGCATGCATATTTTGCATGTGGTTTGTGTGCATCCAACAAACATGTAGTTCTACATGACTTGCAAGTAGTTCTTGCATTGCAAACAGCACTCTGTTGATGTTTGCCTCTCAGAGCCTGGCCCATCTTAGGTAGAACACTGAAAAATGTCTAAGTGGTCAAGGCATGGGGAAAGGAGAGAGATCTGGAAAATTATGACACCTTGTTGTGAATGGAGAAAGACTAACAAATGTCAAAGATACAAGTCACTTTCCTTTGGATATAGTTAAGGACATGGCACAAGAGGAAACATGAAAGTGCTACATGGGGCTCCACCTCCTTAACATTCTGTCAACCCCCTAAACCAGCCTTCCCCAGCTTCCAGATGTGCTGGTCTGCAAATACAATAATTCATAGGGATCCATGGGCATAGCATAAATCTGGAAGGCACCAGTTTGGGTAAGGCTGCACTTCACCAACATGTTTCAGAAGCCTACACACCTCAAATACAGCACAGCCTTTGTCAAATTTTGTGTGGCAAGAGCAAAGCGGCAGAAGCAAATGCTTCCAATGCCCACTGGACAGTGTATCTACTCGGTTAAGCAACTTAAAGAACTATCCATGGTGCTGAACATGTTTTGGCAGTAGGTTTCAGCATCATAGAATGCTTCATGGATGATACTGGAGCCACCATCCTTCAATGGGGTGAAGCTTCCAATAACTAAGATATATACCAGCTTTCCCCAACAAGGTGTCCACCACATGGGTCAGCTTACAATTTCCACTTTCCCAATCAGCACTTTCCCAATATAATCAAATTATATTGATTTGGGATGATCGCTGGTACAGTCAGACACATCTGTACAGCGGTAGTTCCAAAACTGTGTTTGGTGGAACCCTAGGGTTCTGAAAAAGCCATGCAGGGGTTCCATGAAAAATCTCAAAAATCAAATTTAAAATGGATTTTAAAATGAAACTGCACAAGGCCAACTATTTGGTTGTTTGCTGCTTGGACACGAAATGACAAGGAAATGCATCACATCATTTGTTTCCTAAGACTCTATTATGTAGTGTTGGGAATAATCAAAAGAATTCATTTGGGTTATTCCCATATAATTGCTTTATTCATTTGTCATATTTAAAATGTTTTCTCTTTATTTCTAAACCTTTATGTTATCCAAGCACCCAGGCAATAGGAGCAGATGAAAGAAGGAAGAATGTTGTAGGTTTATTTATTTATTTATTTATATTGCGATTTATATCCTGCCTTTTTCCTACAAAGGGCTCAAGGCAGCTTACATCATCTCTCCTCCTCCATCTTATCCCCACAACAACAACCCTGTGAGGTTGGTTGGGCTGAGAGTCTGTGACTGGCCCAAAGTCACCCAGTTGGCTCCATGGCCGAGTGGGGACTCGAACCGGGATCGCCTGAGTCCCAGTCCCATGCGCTTAACCACTACACCATATAGAGTTAGGGTTCCACGGGGAAAAAAGTGTCTTCCAAGTTCCAAGGTTCCATGAAAGCGTTTGGGAATCACTGCTGTAGAGCATTCAGTTGGGGAAAGGTGGTGTACAAATATGTATTTCTTTTGACTCTGTCTTGCCTCTGGCTTACTAGAGGGAAATGTGGAATGAGTGGTCATAGTGAGCTTGTAAGCTCTCCTTTGAACTGCTTGTCTGCAATGCTGATGCCTTCCCCTTTTAATACATTCCCCACCTAGAAATAGCTTCTATTTTCTGTATTCGATACTTTAGCAGCACCTTTATTACTCATTTTTTTCTTCCAAATGCATTTTCTGAATTTTTGCTAAAGTCTTTCTAAAAGCGTTAGGTCAGATCCTGACTTGATTTTTTGTGTTCAACTTGGGTGTTGTTTATATTAACTGGAACAAAGCTCAACTCATTTAGTCCAGATCCAACCCATTAAAAATAAGCATTTCTGTATTCTGTTTCTCACAAATTAGCTAATCCTAAATTTGTTTTCTCAGAAGTTGAATGGACTCGCTCCCAGGCAAATATGCAAAGGATGGCAGATATATTACATAAACATAAAGAGTCATGCAAACTTATGTGAAACCACTGGTAAAATTTGTTCTGAAAGGTAGTATGAATGCATTGCCTGATCTCCAGTTTTTCTTTTCTGGACACAACAGTACTTTTGGGAAAGTAAGAAACTCCTGTGGGCTCCACCA